TTGAGGTTTTGTGTGCGCTTGGGTTGGAATTCCGAGGGCTCGGGTGAGTTTCGGGTAGGTTCCGGGGTGTCTTAGGCTTAAAAACTGAGCTATTGCAGGCTCAGAGAGTTGGAGGACCTCTGAACAGGGCACTGCGGTCCGCACGATATGGACTGCGGCCGCAAAGAGGTCCGTGCGGCCGCACTAGTTTTGGTGCGGTCCGCGGTGAAGAGCAATTCACTGGTCTGATTTCGGAAGCCTATATCTTTTGATCTAAAAGGCATTTAGAGATGATTCAAAAATAAAGGTTGTAGCCCTTCGTGTCTAGTTTCCAGAAAGGTAAAGGAATCACAATATGGATATCTATAGAGAAAGTTATGGCAAAACAACTAAGACCTATCACTGCAAAACACAGGAAGCCTGTGAGGCCGCGATTGATTTTGTGCGGTCCGCACAGGGCTTCCGAGGGCAGTATATTTAGACGATATTTTCAGTTATTTTTCAATTTTTAAGAACCCAAAAACATAAGAGGCGATTTTTCAAACAACCTTTCTTTTCCAAATCAATTGTAAGTCGTTTTTAACTAGTTTTCTTCAATCATTAACACCTTTCAACATGGATTCAACTTAAAATCAAAGATTTTCATGGGGAAAATTGGGAGTTTTGGGTAGAACCTGGGTTTTTTAAAAATTGGGGATTTGAATCTCGATTTGAGGTTTGATTTCAAAACAAATTACATATTTGAGCTCGTGGGGGAATGGGTAGTCGGGTTTTGGTTCGAACCTCAGGTTTTGACCACGTAGGCCCAAGAGCGATTTTGACTTTTTGGGTAAAACTTTGGAAAACTCGTTTTCATGCATTCAAATTGATTTATTTAGCATTTATTGATGTAATTAAGTAAATTGTGACTAGATATGAGCGAATTGACGTTGGAATCAAGGGGTAAAGCTATAATTGAACCTTAAGTTGTGTTCGTGGCATCGAGGTAAGTGTTTGGTCTAACCTTAGCTTGAGGGATTAGGAGTTGAGTCTTATTTGCTACGTGATAATTGTTGAGTATGGCATATAGGCATGGTGACGAGTATCTATACGATGGTGTCTAGCATGACCGTGAGTTTTTAAATCTTGAAGATCTTGATTTCCTTGTATCTTTCATGCCTTGGTGATGATTTCTAATTGTTGTGGAAAGTTTGTGGAAGGAATTGCAACCTTTGAACATCGAGGAGCATTGGCTCAAGTTATATTATGAATTGTGAAAGTATATGAGATGATTGAACCCTTTGGACCATTGGCTCAAGTGGCAAGGTGAGTTATGAAATAAAAGTGAAGGAAAGAGAAAGAGTTATTAAATTGTCCCCTTGTCGGGATATAGTTGCTTTGTTGATTATCTCTCTTGCCGGGATGTTGAGATTATTGATGTTGTTCCCTTGCCGAAATTTCATTGTTTAATTGTTGTTCCCTTGCCGAGATCTTTATTACTATTTTGTTTATTCCCTTGCCCCTTTGCTTGTGATTGTTGTTTGGTTGAGGAAGAGTGTTAAAACACGAAGGGTGATGTCGTGCATTGTTTGCTATTGTGAGGAAAGAGTGTAAAGCACGAAGGGTGATGTCGTGCCGTACGATGTACCATTCCGTACCGATTTTCATTGATTATATGGTTAGGAAAGAGTGTAAAAGCACGAAGGGTGGTGTCGTGCACATCCTTATTATATGATTGATTTGGTGAGGACGAAAGTAAAAGCTGAAGGGTGTTGTCGTGCACACTTTTATTATAAAAATGCTTTGGAGAGGACGAGAGTAAAAGCACGAAGGGTGATGCCGTGCAAATTGTTGATTTCTGATTCTTTGTTGATATTCGAGTTATGTTGTTTCTTTCCTTACTTGATGCTTTCTATTCGGAACTGTTATCTCCCCCACAGCATGTTTTCCCCTCCCACATTGATTAGTTATTTTGTGTATTTCTCTTCCGATGTATATACATTTGAACTGCACGGGTTTATTTGGTAGTTTGGTTCTAGCCTCGTCATTACTTCGCCGAGGTTAGGCTAGACACTTACCAGTACATGGGGTCGGTTGTGCTGATACTACACTCTACATTGTGTGCAGATCCAGGAGCAACTTTCGGACAGTAGTTGGAGTGCTTCATTCAGTCCACCTAGAGACCCAAGGTAGACTACAGGCATACGTAGGCCCTGGCGTCTCCCTCTATCTCTACTTTATGTTTCATTTTCTTTTATTCAGAAACAGCGTACTATTATTTCTTCAGACCTTGTATGTAGAAATCTTAGATAGTCTGTGACATTGTGACACCAGATTTTGGATATTTGAGGTTTTAAAAGTTGTAATAGACGTAGACTTAAGATATTTAATTGTTGACTTCCCCTTAATTATTTAAAGTTCTGCTATTATCATGTTATCGCCTTGTGTTTGTTAAAATGAAGCAATATGGAAGCGTAGCAAGTAGTTAAGGTTTGGCTTGCCTAGCTCCCATTAGTAGGCGCCATCACGACCCCCGAGGTTAGGAAATACGGGTCGTGACAAGTTGGTATCAGAGCTCTAGGATGCATGGGTCTGACAGTTCACAGACAAGCTTAGTAGAGTCTGAGGGATCGGTATGGAAATGTCTGTATTTATCCCCCAGAGGCTACGGAGTTAGGAAAAACTTCACATTTGTTCTTTCTCGTCGTGCGATTTTGTTTCTCAATGCTAATTGAACATCTACTCTATTCTTTCGCAGATGGCAAGAACACACGCTTCCCCATCCTCCGCTCAGCAGCCCGAACCCCCAGTAGCAACTCCCATGAGGAAAAAAAGGCGAGGTCGATGTCGTGCTAGAGGCCAAGGTAGGGGCAGATCTTAGCCCCGAGCAGCAGCCCCTGTAATGGAGCCTCAAGTTGATTTTGATGAGGAGGTTCCAGCTCCAGCAGTTCAGGTGGGCCCAGCTCATATCCCAGAGGGGTTTATTGCTACCCTAGTAAGTCAGGATGCCTTGGTCCGACTAGTGGGCCTCATGGAGAGTGTCACCCGAGCAGGCTTGCTTCCTGTAGCACCAATCATCTCTCAGGCTAGAGGAGGGGCCCAGACTCCTACTACTCGCACTCCGGAGCAGGTAGATTCTCAGATTTAGACTCCAACGATTCAGCCAGTTGGAGCAGTACAACCGGGTGTTGTAGCTTACACTAGTGATGGAGCGACTATGTCCGTCGATGCTTTGTGGAGACTGGATAGGTTCACCAAGCTCTTCACTTCTACTTTCAGTGGTGCATCTACTAAGGATCGCAAGGATTATCTAGACAGCTGCCACGAGGTTCTCAGGAACATGGGCATAGTTGAGACCAATGGCGTTGATTTTGCTACATTTCGCTTGCCTGGATTCGCCAAGACTTGGTGGAGGGATTGTTGCTTACTGAGACCAGCCAGATCGCCAACCTTAACTTGGGAGAAGTTTACCGTGTTATTCCTGGAGAAGTTTCGCCCCGTTATTTAGAGAGATGCCTATTAGAGGTAGTTTGAGCGCCTCCAGCAGGGTACCATGACTGTTACCCAGTATGATACCAGGTTCATCGATTTGGATTGCCATGAGAGAGAGAGAGGAGGAGGTTTATTGAAGTTCTTATTCAGCCGATTCATCTTCAGATGGCTAGAGAGGCTGGGAGTGAGGTTACTTTTCAAGCCAATGCGGCCCGTTGATTTGAGATGGTTCTGTCATAGGGAAGCGGTCATGGGTCAGACAAGAGGCCCCGTCATTCATGCCGATTCAGTGGTACCTCATTCGGAGGTCAAGATTCGTATGGTAGAGGCCATCCTCCTAGGCCCTTTTAGTCAGTGCTCCATGTTTCTCACGGTACTTGAGGTGGTCGTGGTCCCCAGATATAGTACCTCGATCAGTAGTCCTACAGTGCACCACCTACTCCTATTAGTGCGCCGCCGCTTCAGAGTTTTCGGGGTTGTCATTCAGGTTGTCAGGGCCAGCAGTCTCAGCAACCGAGGGCTTGTTACATGTGTGGTGATCCGGGTCACATTGCCAAGTTTTACCCTCGAGCACCGAGTAGCTCTCAGCATCAGGGTTCTCATGCTATGGTACCGGTACCAGGTGTTCCACAACCCGCCTATCCAGCTAGAGGTTGGAGTAAAGGTGCTAGAGGTGGAGGTAGAGGTACTAGAGGTGGAGCCAGGCCGCCAGAGGTGGAGGCCAGCCAATTGCAGGTCGTCCCAGAGATGTAGTTTTGGGTGGTAGGGCCCAGCCCCGATGTTACGCCATTCCAGCAAGGCCCGAGCCTGAGGCTTCAGATGCAGTCATTACATGTATTATTCTGGTTTGTGATAGAGATGATTCAGTGTTATTTGATCAAGGGTCTACCTACTCGTATGTGTCATCTTATTTTCCACCGTATCTGATTCATTGAGTATATCTGTTCATGTGTCTACACCGGTGGGTGATTCTATTGTGGTAGATCGAGTCCATCATTCTTGTATTGTGGTGATTGGGGGTCTTGAGACTCGTGTGGATTTATTGCTTTTAGACATGGTTGATTTCGCTGTTATATTGGGGATGGACTAACGCTATCTTGGACTGTCATGCTAAGACTGTGACCTTAGCCTTACCAGATTTGCCCTATTTAGAGTGGAGAGGGACTTCTGGTCATTCTACCCGCAGTGTTATCTCGTATGTGAAGGCTCGGCGTATGGTCGAGAAGGGGTGTTTGGCCTATTTGGCATATGTTCGTGATTGTATTGCTGAGGTCCCTTCTATTCATTTTGTGCCCGTTGTTCGAGAGTTTTCTGATGTTTTCCCTTCATACCTGCCGGGTATGCCACCCGATAGGGATATTGACTTTTGCATTGATTTGGCTCCAAGCACTCAGCCCATTTCTATCCCGTCATATCGTATGGCCCCGCCGGAGTTGAAAGAGTTGAAATAACAGTTGCAAGACTTGCTTGAGAAGGGTTTAATTAGAACTAGTGTTTTTCCTTGGGGTGCGTCAGTGTTGTTTGTTAAGAAGAAGGACGGATCGATGAGAATGTGTATTGATTACCAGCAGTTGAACAAGGTTACAATCAAGAATAAGTATCCATTGCCGAGGATCGATGATTTGTTTGATCAGCTTCAGGGTGCCAAGGCGTTTTCAAAGATTGATTTGAGATCTGGATACCATCAGTTGAGGATTAGGGCATCTGATGTCCCTAAGACATCTTTCCGCACTCAGTACGGGCATTATGAGTTCCTGGTCATGTCATTTGGGTTGATCAATGCCCTAGCAGCTTTTATGGATTTGATGAACCGAGTGTTTAGGCCTTATTTGGACTCGTTCGTGATAGTCTCCATTGATGATATTTTGATATATTCCCGCAGTCGGGAGGAGCACGAACAGCATCTTAGAGTGGTTCTTCAGACCTTGAGGGATAGTCAGTTATATGCCACTACCGTCGGTTCGTGGAGGGTATTCAGGTTGATTTAAAGAAAATTGAGGCGGTCAAGAACTAGCCTAGACCAGCATCAACTACAGAGATTCAGAGTTTCTTAGGATTGACAGGCCACTACCGTCGGTTCGTGGAGGGGTTCTCATCTATTGCAACCCCGATGACCAGGTTTACCCAGAAGGGTGCCCAATTCAGATGGTCAGACGACTGTGAGGTGAGCTTTCAGAAGCTCAAGACAGCTTTGACTACGGCACCGGTGTTGGTTTTGCCCACAGGTTCAGGGCCTTATACAGTTTATTGTGATGCATCTCGTATTGGGCTTGGTGATGTGTTGATGCAGGATGGCAAGGTCATTGCCTATGCTTCGTGGCAGTTGAAGATTCATGAGAAGAACTATCTGATTCATGACTTGGAGTTGGCAGCCATTGTTCATGTATTGAAGATTTGGAGGCATTATCTGTATGGCGTGACATGTGAGGTGTTCACGGATCACAAAAGTCTTCAGTATTTGTTCAAGCAAAAGTAGTTGAATTTGAGACAGAGGAGGTGGTAGAGTTGTTGAACGATTATGATATCACTATCTTGTATCATCCGATAAAGGTCAATGTGGTAGCTGATGCGTTGAGTAGGAAGTCAGCCAGTATGGGCAGTCTTGCTTCTATTCTGGTCGGTGAGAGACCGCTTGCTTTGGACATTTAGGCTTTGGCCAATCAATTTGTGAGGTTGGATATTTCTAAGCGTAGTCGTGTATTGGCCTGCACGGTCGCTCGTTCTTCTTTATTGGAGTGTATCCGTGGTCGGTAGTATGATGATCCCCATTTACGTATCCTTAGAGACACGGTGCAGCGCGGAGGTGCCAGCAGGTTACCTTAGATGATGATGGTGTTTTGAGATTGTAGGGTCGAGTTTGTGTGCCTAATGTGTATGGTCTCCGAGAGTTGATTTTAGAGGAGGCCTATAGATCCCCGTACTCTATTCATCCGTGCACCGCGAAGATGTGTCAAGATTTGCAGCAGCATTATTGGTGGCGGAGAATGAAGAAGGATATTGTTGCATATGTAGCTCGGTGCTTGAATTGTCTGCAGGTTAAGTACGGGCATCAGAGGCCTAGTGGTTTATTTCAGAGGATTGAGCTTCCCGAGTGGAAGTGGGAGCGGATCACTATGGATTTCGTTGTTAAACTCCTGCAGAATCTGAGGAAGTTCGATGTAGTACCGGTCATTATTGATAGGCTGACCAAGCCAGCTCATTTCATTCCTGTGGCGGTCTGCTATTCATCCGAGAGGTTAGCTGAGATCTATATCTGGGAGATTGTTCGTCTTCATGGTGTGCTTGTATCTATCATTTCGGACTGAGGTACACAGTATACCTCGCAATTTTGGAGAGCAGTTCAGCGAGAGTTGGGCACCCAGGTTGAGTTGAGTACAACATTTCATCCTCAGACGGATGGGAAGTCCGAGCGGACTATTCAGATTTTGGAGGATATGCTCCGTGCTTGTGACTTTGGAGGCTCGTGGGATCAGTTTTTGCCTTTCGCAGAATTTGCCTACATCAACAGTTACCAGTCGAGTATCCAGATGGCTCCTTATGAGGCTTTATATGGTAGGCGGTGTCGATCTCCGGTTGGATGATTTGAGCCAGGGGAGGCTCGATTGTTGGGTATGGATCTGGTTCAGGAGGCTTTGGACAAGGTCAGGATTATTCAGGATAGGCTTCGTACAGCTCAGTCTAGGCAAAGGAATTATGCAGACGGCAAGGTTCGAGATGTGGCTTTTATGGTTGGAGAGTGGGTATTGCTCCGAGTGTCGCTTATGAAGGGCGTGATGAGATTTGGGAAGAAGGGCAAACTTAGCCGTAGGTTCATCGGTCCGTTTGAGATTCTTGATCGAGTGGGAGAGGTGTCTTATAGACTTGCATTGCCTCCGAGCTTATCAGCCGTGCATCCAATGTTTCATGTGTCCATGCTCCGAAAATATCACGGCGATCCATCCCACGTATTAGATTTCAGCACTATCCAACTGGACAAGGACTTGTCTTATGAGGAGGAGCCGGTAGCTATTCTAGACCGGCAGGTTTGTCAGTTGAGGTTGAAGAGTTTTCCTTCTGTTCGTGTTTAGTGGAGAGGTCAGCCTCCTAAGGCATCGACCTGGGAGTCCGAGTCCGATTTGCGGAGCCGTTATCCCCATCTTTTCCCCGACTCAGGTACTTCCTTCTTCTGTCCGTTCGAGGACGAACGGTTGTTTTAGAGGTGGAGAATGTGATGACCTTTGTAGAGGTGGACGAACAGTTGTTTTGGGGTCATCACTTTATAAAACAAAATTCCGTGTTCTGAGGACTTGAAAACCCCATTTAGAGTCATCTTGATTTGCGTGCACAGTCCGGGCACGTAGTCGGAAAGCTTAAATATAATAATCTATGAAAAATGATAAGTTTTGAATATAAAATGAGTAATTTGACTTCGGTCAACCGTTTGGGTAAACGGACCCGGACCCGTGATTTGACGGTCCCGGAGGGTCTGTAGGAAAATATGGGACTTGGGCGTATGCCCGGAATCGAATTCCGAGGTCCCAAGCCCGAGGAATGAATTTTCAAAGGAAATTGTTTTCTGGAATTGTTTAAAGAAATTTGAAATGAAATTTTATTAGAACATGATGGCATAGGGCCCGTATTTTGATTCCGGCACCAGGTACAAGTCCTATATATGATTTAAGACATTTCTGTGGAATTTGGTGAAAAACGGATGTCATATGACGTGATTCGAACTTAAATTGCAAAATTTATGTTCAAAGAAGTTTTGAGAAAATTTCATTGATCTCGAGATTTAATTGGATGTTCATGATGTTATTTTGATGATTTGATTACACGAATAAGTCGGTAGGATGTTTTTGAGGTTTTGTGTGCGCTTGGGTTGGAGTTCCGAGGGCTCGGGTGAGTTTCGGGTAGGTTCCGGGGTGTCTTAGGCTTAAAACCTGAGTTGTTGCAGGCTCAGAGAGGTGGAGGACCTCTGAACAGGGCAGTGCGGTCCGCACGATATGGACTGCGGCCACGGAGAGGCCCGTGTGGCCGCACTAGTTTTGGTGCGGTCCGCGGTGAAGAGTAATTCACTGGTCCGATTTCGGAAGCCTATATCTTTTGATATACAAGGCATTTAGAGATGATTCAAAAATGAAAGTTGTAGCCCTTCGTGTCTAGTTTCAAGAAATTTAAAGAAATCACAATTTGGATATATATAGAGAAAGTGATGGCCAAAATACTAAGACCTATCACTGCAGAACACAGGAAGCCTGTGCGGTCGCGGTTGATTTTGTGCGGTCCGCACAGGGCTTCCGAAGGCAGTATATTTAGACGGGATTTTCAGTTATTTTTATTTTTTTAAGAACCCAAAAACATAAGAGGCAATTTTTCAAACAACCTTTCTTCTCCAAATCAATTGTAAGTCATTTTTAACTAGTTTTCTTCAATCATTAACACCTTTCAACATGGATTCAACATAAAATCAAAGATCTTCATGGGGGAAATTGGGAGTTTTGGGTAGAACCTAGGTTTTTCAAAAATTGGGGATTTGGACTTCGATTTGAGGTCCGATTTCAAAACAAATTACATATTTGAGCTCGTGGGGTAATGGGTAATCGGCTTTTGGTTCGAACCTCGGGTTTTGACCACGTGGGCTCGGGGGCGATTTTGACTTTTTGGGTAAAACTTTGGAAAACTCATTTTCATGCATTCAAATTGATTTATTTAGCGTTTATTGATGTAATTAAGTAAATTGTGACTAGATACGAGCGAATTGGCGGTGGAATAAAGGGGTAAAGCTATAATTAAACCTTGAGTTGTGTTCGTGGCATCGAGGTAAGTGTTTGGTCTAACCTTAGCTTGAGGGATTAGGAATTGAGTCTTATTAGCTGCGTGATAATTGTTGAGTACGACGTATAGTCATGGAGACGAGTATATATACGTTGGTGTCTAGCATGACCGTGAGTCTTTAAATTTTGAAGATCTTTATTTCGTTGTATCTTTCATGCCTTGGTGATGATTTCTAATTGTTGTGGAAAGTTTGTGGAAGGAATTGTAACCTTTGAACATCGAGGAGCATTGGATCAAGTTATATTATGAATTGTGAAAGTATATGAGATGATTGAACCCTTTGGAGCATTGGCTCAAGTGGTAAAGTGAGTTATGAAATAAAAGTGAAAAAGAAAAGAGAAAGAGTTATTAAATTGTCCCCTTGTCGGGATATAGTTGCTTTGTTGCTTATCTCCCTTGCTGGGATGTTGAGATTATTGATGTTGTTCCCTTGCCGAAATTTCATTGTTTAATTGTTGTTCCCTTGCCGGGATCTCTATTACTATTTTGTTTATTCCCTTTCCCCTTTACTTGTGATTGTTGTTGGGTGAGGAAGAGTGTTAAAGCACGAAGGGTGATGCCGTGCATTGTTTGCTATTGTGGGGAAAGAGTGTAAAGCACGAAGGGTAATGCCATGCCATACGATATACCATTCCGTACCGATTTTCATTGATTATATGATGAGAAAAGAGAGTAAAAGCACGAAGGGTGGTGCCGTGCACATCTTTATTATATGATTGATTTGCTCAGGACCAAAGTAAAAGCACGAAGGGTGATGCCGTGCAAATTGTTGATTTCTGATTCTTTGTTGATATTCGAGTTATGTTGTTTCTTTCCGTACTTGATGCTTTATATTCGAAACTGTTATCTCCCCCACAGCATGTTTCCGCCTCCCACATTGACTGGTTATTTTCTGTATTTCTCTATTGTTGTATATACATTTGAACTGCACAGGTTTATTTGATAATCTAGTTCTAGCCTCGTCACTACTTCGCCGAAGTTAGGCTAGACACTTACACGCACATGGGATCGGTTGTGCTGATACTATACTCTACATTGTGTGTAGATCTAGGAGCAGAATTCGGACAGTAGTTAGAGTGTTTCCTTCAGTCCACCCAGAGACCCAAGGTAAACTGCAGGCATCCGCAGGCCCTGGCGTCTCCCTCTATCTCTACTTTATGTTTCATTTTCTTTTATTCAGAAACAGCGTACTATTATTTCTTCAGACCATGTATGTAGAAATCTTAAATAGTCTGTGACATTGTGACACCAGATTTTGGGTATTTGAGGTTTTAAAAGTTGTAATAGACGTAGACGTAAGATATTTAATTGTTGACTTCCGCTTAATTATTTAAAGTTCTGATGTTATCATGTTATCGCCTTGTGTTTGTTAAAATGAAGCAATATGGAAGCGTAGCAAGTATTTAAGGTTTGGCTTGCCTAGCTCCCATTAGTAGGCGCCATCACGACCCCCAAGGTTGGGAAATACGGGTCGTGACAAGTTGGTATCAGAGCTCTAGGATGCATGGGTCTGACAGTTCACAGACAAGCTTAGTAGAGTCTGAGGGATCATTACGGAGACGTCTGTATTTATCCCCTAGAGGCTACAGAGTTAGGAAAAACTTCACATTTGTTCTTTCTCGTCGTGCGATTTTGTTTCTCAATGCTAATTGAACTTCTACTCTATTCTTTCGCAGATGGCGAGAACATGCGCTTCCTCATCCTCCGCTCAGCAGCCCGAGCCCCCAGCAGCAACTCCCACGAGGGGCGGAAGGCAAGGCTGACGCCGTGCTAGAGGCCGAGGTAGGGGCAGATCTCAGCCCCAAGCAGCAGCCTCAGTAATGGAGCCTCAGGTTGATTTTGATGATCAGGTCCCAGAGGGGTTTATTGCTACCCTAGTAAGTCAGGACGCCTTGGTCCAACTAGTGGGCCTCATGGAGAGTGTCACCCGAGCAGGCTTGCTTCCTGTAGCACCAATCGTCTCTCAGGCTGGAGGAGGGGCCCAAACTCCTACTACTCGCACTCCGGAGTAGGTAGCTTCTCAGATTTAGACTCCAAAAATTCAGCCAGTTGGAGCAGTACAGCCGGGTGTGGTAGCTCAGACCAGTGATGGAGCGACTATGTCCGTCGATGCTTTGTGGAGACTGGAAAGGTTCACCAAGCTCTTCACTTCTACTTTCAGTGGTGCATCTACGGTGGATCCCCAGGATTATCTAGATAGCTGCCACGAGGTTCTCAGGAACATGGGCATAGTTGAGACCAATGGGTCGATTTTGCTACATTTCGTTTGTCTGGATCTGCCAAAACTTGTTGGAGGGATTATTGCTTAGTGAGACCATCCAGATCGCCAACCTTAACTTGGGAGCAGTTTATAGTGTTATTCCTGGAGAAGTTTCTCCCTGTTACTCAGAGAGAGGCCTATCAGAGGTAGTTTGAGTGCCTCCAGCAGGGTTCCATGACTGTTACCCAGTATGATACCAGGTTCATCGATTTGTCTTGCCATGCTCTCATCATACCCCCCACCAAGAGAGAGAGAGAGTGAGGAGGTTTATTGACGGTCTTATTGAGCCAATTCATCTTCACATGGCTAGAGAGGTTGGGAGTGAGATTACTTTTTAGGCCAATGTGGCCCGTTGAGTTGAGATGGTTCTGTCATAGGGAGGCGTTCATGGGTCAGACAAGAGGCCCCGTCATTCAGTCCGATTTAGTAGTACCTCATTAGGAGGTCTAGATTTGTATGGTAGAGGCCATCCTCCTAGGCCCTTTTAGTCAGCGCTCCAGGTTTCTCACGGTACTTGAGGTGGTCGTGGTCCCCAATTACAGTATCCCGATCAGTAGTCCTACAGTGCACCACCTGCTCCTATTAGTGTACCGCCGCTTCAGAGTTTTTGGGGTGGTCATTCAGGTTGTCAGGGCCAGCAATCTCAGCAGCCAAGGGCTTATTACATGTGTGGTGATCCAGGTCACATTGCGAAGTTTTGCCCTCGAGCACCGAGTAGCTCTCAGCATCAGGGTTCTCATGTTATGGTACAGGCACCAGGTGTTCCATAGCCCGCCCATTCAGCTAGAGGTTGGGGTAGAGGTGCTAGAGGTGGAGGTAGAGGTACTAGAGGTGGAGCCAGGCCGCCAGAGGTGGGGGCCAGCCAGTTGTAGGTCGTCCCAAAGATGTAGTTCAGGGTGGTGGGGCCCAGCCCCGATGTTACGCCCTTCCAGCCAGGCTCGAGGCTGAGGCTTCAGAAGCAGTCATTACATGTATTATTCTAGTTTGTGATAGAGATGCTTCAGTGTTATTTAATCCAGGGTCTACCTACTCGTATGTGTCATCTTATTTTGCACCGTATCTGGTCATACCTAGTGATTCATTGAGATTCATGTTCATGTGTCTACACCGGTGGGTGATTTTATTGTGGTAGATCGAGTCCATCATTCTTGTATTATGGTGATTGGGGTCTTGAGACTCGTGTGGATTTGTTTCTTTTAGACATGGTTGATTTCGATGTTATATTGGGATGGACTGTTATCACCTTACCACGCTATCTTGGACTGTAATGCCAAGACTGTGACCTTAGCCTTACCAGATTTGCCCCATTTAGAGTGGAGAGGGAGTCTGGTCATTCTACCCGCAGTGTTATCTCGTATGTAAAGGCTCGGTGTATGGTCGAGAAGGGGTGTTTGGCCTATTTGGCATATGTTCGTGATTGTAGTGCTGAGGTCCCTTCTATTCATTTTGTGCCCGTTGTTCGAGAGTTTTCTGATGTTTTCACTTCATACCTGCCGGGTATGCCACCCGATAGGGATATTGACTTTTGCATTGATTTGGCTCCGGGCACTCAACCCATTTCTATCCCGTCGTATCGTATGGCCCCGCCGGAGTTGAAGAGTTAAAATAATAGTTGCAAGACTTGCTTGAGAAGGGTTTAATTAGAACCAGTGTTTTTCCTTGGGGTACGCTGGTCTTATTTGATATGACGTAGGACGGATCGATAAGAATGTGTATTGATTACCAGCAGTTGAATAAGGTTACAATCAAGAATAAGTATCCATTGCCGAGGATCGATAATTTGTTTGATCAGCTTCAGGGTGCTAAGGTGTTTTCAAAGATTGATTTGAGATGTGGATACCATCAGTTGAGGATTAGGGCATCTGATGTTCCTAAGACAGCTTTCCGCACTCTGTACGGGCATTATGAGTTCCTGGTCATGTCATTTGGGTTGACCAATGCCCCAGCAGCTTTTATGGATTTGATGAACCGAGTGTTCAGGCCTTATTTGGACTCGTTTGTGATAGTCTCCATTTATGATATTTTGATATATTCCCGTAGCCGGGAAGAGCACGAGCAGCATCTTAGAGTGGTTCTTCAGACCTTGAGGGATAGTCAGTTATATGTTAAGTTCTCGAAGTGTGAGTTCTGGTTGAGTTCAGTAGCATTTCTGGGTCATGTTGTATCAGTAGAGGGTATACAGGTTGATCCGAAGAAGATTGAGGCTGTCAAGAACTGGCCTAGACCAGCATCAGCTACAGAGATTCAGAGTTTCTTAGGATTGGCAGGCCATTACCATCGGTTCGTGGAGGGGTTCTCATCTATTGCAGCCTGGTGACTAGGTTGACCCAGAAGGGTGCCCAATTCAGATGGTCAGACAAGTGTGAGGTGAGCTTTCAGAAGCTCAAGACAGCTCTGACTACGGCACCGATGTTGGTTTTACCCACAGTTTCAAGGCCTTATACAGTTTATTGTGATGCATCTCGTATTGGGATTGGTGCAGTGTTGATGCAGGATGGCAAGGTCATTGTCTATGCTTCACGGCAGTTGAAGATTCATTAGAAGAACTATCCGATTCATGACTTGGAGTTGGCAGCTATTGTTCACGCATTGAAGATTTGGAGGCATTATCTGTATGGCGTGGCATGTGAGATGTTCACGGATCACAAGAGTCTTCAGTATTTGTTCAAGCAAAAGGAGTTGAATTTGAGACGGAGGAGGTGGTAGAGTTGTTGAACGATTATGATATCACTATCTTGTATCATCCGGGAAAGGTCAATGTGGTGGTTGATGCGTTGAGTAGGAAGTCAACCAATATGGTCAGTCTTGCTTCTATTCCAGTCGGTGAGAGACCGCTTGCTTTGGACGTTCAGGCTTTGGCCAATCAGTTTGTGAGATTGGATATTTCTAAGCCTAGTCGTGTATTGGCCTGCACGGTCGCTCGTTCTTCTTTATTGGACCGTATCCGTGGTCGGCAGTATGATGAACCCCATTTATGTGTCCATAGAGACACGGTGCAGCGCGGAGGTGCCAACATCTTACCTTAGATGATGATGGAGTTTTGAGATTGTAGGGTCGAGTTTGTGTGCCTAATGGGGATGGTCTCCGATAGTTGATTTTAGAGGAGGCCTATAGATCCCGGTACTCTATTCATCCGTGCGCCGCGAAGATGTATCAAGATTTGCGGCAGCATTATTGGTGGCGGAGAATGAAGAAGGATATTGTTGCATATATAGCTCGGTGCTTGAATTGTCAGCAGGTTAAGTACGAGCATCAGAGGCCCGGTGGTTTATTTTAGAGGATTGAGCTTCCCGAGTGGAAGTGGGAGCGGATCACTATAAGGAAGTAAAACTGCACGAAGGGTGATGTCGTGCACACTTTTATTATAAAATTGCTTTGGAGAGGACGAGAGTAAAAGCACAAAGGGTGATGCCGTGCAAATTGTTGATTTTTGATTCTTTGTTGATATTCGAGTTATGTTGTTTCTTTCCTTACTTGATGCTTTCGATACGGAACTGTTATCTCCCCCACAGCATGTTTTCCCCTCCCACATTGACTGGTTATTTTCTGTATTTCTCTTCTGCTGTATATACATTTGAACTGCACAGGTTTATTTGGTAGTCTGGTTCTAGACTCGTCACTACTTCGCCGAGGTTAGGCTAGACACTTACACGCACATGGGGTCGGTTGTGCTGATACTACACTCTATATTGTGTGTAGATCCAGGAGCAGCTTTCGGACAGTAGTTGGAGTGCTTCCTTCAGTCCACCCGAAGACCCAAGATAGACTCCAGACGTCCCAGGGCCCTGGTGTCTCCCTCTATTTCTACTTCCTGTTTTATTTTCGTTTATTCAGAAACAACATACTGTTATTTCTTCAGACCTTGTATGTAGAAATCTTCGATAGTCTGTGACACTGTGACACCAGGTTTTGGGTATTTGAGGTTTTAAAAGTTGTAATAGACGTAGACTTAAGATATTTAATTGTTGACTTCCGCTTAATTATTTAAAGTTCCGTTGTTATCATGTAATCGCTTTGTGTTTGTTAAAATGAAGCAATATGGAAGCGTAGCAAGTAGTTATGGTTTGGCTTTCCTAGCTACCATTAGTAGGCGCCATCACGACCCCGAGGTTAGAAAATGCGGATCTTGACACTTTCTTTATGTTAAACTGTATATTCTCTAGTACAAGATCTAGATTTTCTTCTTCCAAAGGTGTTAGTAGAAAAGGTTGAGTTCAATTAACGCAAATCCAAAAGATATATTTTAAGAATTATACTAGAAGAAAATGATAGAAAAGTAACTACAGGAAATGTTCAAGAAATGTAAATGTAAACACAACCGTTTCATCTGGACCTTCACCAAATATCCCAAATCCCTACTCTTTAGGCCGCTGGTGAGTTCGACTATGCACTCTAATAGCAAAGTGCTACTATTGAGACAGAGTAAAACAAGCAAATATCAATTGATTATATTACTAATTTACTGTAGCATAATGATTTTTTGTGAAATATATGTCTAACAGAATAACTATAGCCACTATGGAATGTCATCTAAGAGTTGCAATTTCAAGTATTAGAGAAATATTGACAGTTCATAACTCAAATTATTTTTTGTTTTATCTTTTTCAAATCATAACTCTAATTATTACGCCTTCATATATTGATCTATTATTTGTTGGCGGAAGGGTGTAATCTGAATTATTACGAAAAAAGGGTGAACATAGAAATAAAATAAATGGGTTTCCTAACCACTTTGGTGTCTGAGAAATATGCACAGATACAATTTTTACAATTTGAACAAACTTCGAAAATAAAAAGGAATGATTTTAGTAGGTGACTAACTCTCTTTTCTTTTCTTTATATAATAAAAGGTCAGCAGTATATGCATCTCACAAATTTGTGAAACTTATAGATGTGTATTCTGTATGTGTTTTAGTATTTCAATTTTCCCAGAGGCGGATGCAATGAATAAGTACCAGATTCAATTAAAATCAATATTTTTAATATGAATCGAGTATAAATTTATGTTTAAAAATTTACTAAAATTCTAAAGTAACAGATATGAACTCATAACTTTAAATATACAGTGAATTCAATACTAAAAATCTTAAATGTTAAATACAAAAATTTCAAATCATGAATCCGCCTCTCAATTTTCCACTTCTTTAGATTTTAATTTGCCTTTTTGATCAATTTACTCTAAGAACTTTGTAATGGATAAGGTCGGCCTTATAATTTTCGCCGACAAGGTTTGACTCCGGTGGTTAAATTCACATTAACAATGTATGCGTCACTACTTCCATTGTTTGAGTAGTACGGGAACCATTCAAACATTGTTGCTGATTCTTTTATTCTACTTTCTTATTTTAGATTTTTACTAAAACAGTATATTGTGTTGGAGAGAAGTTGGTGAGGGTAGTATCTAATCTCCA